GTATTATTTGTTTCTAGACCAAACATTAAAGACAGTTAGGGATGTGAGGCCCGAGAAGCAATTGCTCTTGGAATGTCTGTGCCTGATTCTCTCAAGTGATGATGCAACTCAAAATAAAAGTACAGATCCACCCAACCTGTGGGTGTTAAGTTGTATACCTGGTGGGGACAAGTTCTAAGCCTTCCTTACAGTACTCAGCTCTAAGGAAAAAGGATGAGATACGTGGCTGGGCTTGGGATGTAAGACTCTCCCAAATGACCTGTCCAGCTATTATAGGCCAGTCTTTCTATCTGTGTTAAATGTATCATAGAGCAGGACAAGAGTAAAACTGAAGGATGGGGGGAAAAGATATTCAATGGATTTGCAACTTAAACAGAGCCCTTCAAAGGAAAGCTATTTCAATCTGAGGTGTTCCTAATATTAATTATCCTGAACATCTCATAGGCTCAGATTCACATGCTATAAAGAACACAAAGCCTTTTAATTTTCCTACCTGGCCCTGGCACTAGCAGAGATAAATCAGATATACAGCGAAACCACACATGACTAACGAACCAGCCCATTAATGGGGAGCAAAGAGCATTTGCCAAGATGACTTACTCAGACATAGCCACATATCATTACCAGCGAAATTCTGGAGGCTTAAGGCAGCAGGCACAGAAGTCAAGAGCCTGGGCACTCCCTGCCAAATCGCAGGCACTCCAGGGCGACTCGGACTCCCTGCAGATGCCTGTTACCCAGGCATAAAGGATCTTACTCATGGCTGCCTCTTCCCTACTCCCTTAGAGTTAAACTTGTACTTGGGAAATCACTGCAACTTCTAAAAGACCTCTTGGGACATGGAGCTGCTAAGCCCCCAAACGTTGCTGTGGCCCCCTACTCTTGAGACTCAGAATCAGGTACCATGGGAAGAAGGGCCAGCCTCTGCCACCAGCAACCTTCACTGCTTGCTTATAAATCTTTATTGTAGCCGCTCATTCAAATATCTGAGCCAACCAGGTGTCATACCCTGTTCTAGGTGTTCGGGCAAATCAGATCTGTAAACCAAACAGTAAACAGGTAGGAGTAAGGGAGAGAGAAGAATTCCGTAAATGACAGCCTGTTCACTTTACCATGAAAACTGAGGTGCAGTGATAAACAGGAATTTTCCCCTTGGGTCGACGTTGATGGCGTGGCTAGGACTTGAACACAGATTGGATTCTGCAAGTAGAACTGCCGCATACAGTGGTGTGTGAGGCCAGAGGGGATAGGATGAAGGTGAAATTTAATCCACATCCTTCATATGGGCTAAGGGCAGCCGCACTCCAGTGCTGTGTTCTCCTGTCCCAGACTGCCCAATTCCCTTCAACAAAAGCCCCATTCACTGGAAGTGACAACTGAGGTTCCCCAGATCAGCAACGTACCGTCATTAGTAGGAACCAGGAGAGTTTGAATCCTTTCATTGGGATGTAATCCTGACAAGCTATATACTCTCAACTCTTGTCATGAGTGAAAAGAGTGTGTTGAACATAAATCCATCAGAAACCCACATATGGCCACGGTCTCTATAATAATTTTAACAATAATTTCCTATATTATCATCGGATATGAAAGGGAGGAATGTTAGTCACTTTATATCTTCTCCAACCTTTTACTCTTTGGCATCCCAAACTGAGAATATGCCACTGTTCAATCCCACCTCTAACTCAATATGGGTGATAGGGATAATTAACTTAACTCTATAAATATCTACTCTTGACTAGGTGCTAGGGATACAACAATGAACATCGCCACCGTCAACAGCAACACACTACTGTCCCTGACTTCATGGAACTAAGACATGTTGAGTAGAGAGCTGGGAAAAGCCCATCTGCTGAGAAGTTCCTGAGCAGACTGGCAGTCTGCTTAGAGGCCAAGTCTGGAAGCAAGAGTGTATGTGACCAGCCTATTCTCCCTTCCCTCACCCCATTTTACATAAGGAAAAATAAGGTCCAGGAAGGAGAGGAAGTGGCTTTCCCGGCGCCTGACAGCTTGACAGTTGAGCTAAAGTGTCAAGGCCATGTTTGCTGAGTCTCCCCTTTCCACCACATTGTTTCCTCCAAAGTTCCAAAATAGCAAAGTGAGGAGAAATAGTTCGTTCTATTGACATTGTTTCCTGATGCATGTACACCCAGAACATGCAGCTCTATCCCATCTTATCAGCACAGACCTTGTGCTCATGTCCATCTCTCAAACTAGAAAGTTTAGAAATATTCTTCCTTGATCTAGAACCCAGGTGTTCAGTCTGCATTCACTCCCATTTATCACTCTCTCTTGGTGTTTACTTTCACTTTAAAAAAGCTCATCTTATAAGAACAGAGCCCTTTTTATCTGACGCTAGCTCCCCCTCTGCTCCTGGGGTCTAATCAATCCATGTCTGGAAATAAACAAGCCAGAGAGGAAAGCAACAGTCCCTTTTATTAAAACAGGCACCTTTCTGAAATGATCCACCCCTGGGCATGGCACAGATAGAAATTTAAATGAGGAGGAAATAAAGACATTCTCTAGCATTAGTCATATGCATTCCATAGCAGGTGGGACACCGGGGAAGGTAACTCTGGGATAACAACTAAACCAAAAACTCTGCCTCACATTATTCAGGTTATTTGGAAGGCTGAGGGGGTTAGGGTCCAAATTCAGGAAGCCTGATGAGGCAATAGGCTTCAAAACATAATCGTTTATATAGTTCAGGGCTCTCCATTCTAAGGAGCTTAAGGTCTTCAAGAGAGTAAGAGAGGGCACATTAAACATCAACTTTAGGTATACCCAAGTAGGCCCCCAGCTACTACTGGGGCACACCGAGATGCCAGATAGAAAAATCCAGACGTCTGGCACCCAGCATGGACCTCCGCCCATCACGTTATCTTACAGCCACCTGCAAAGCAGTCTCCATACCTCCCACCTCCCACCACCCTCCACCCTCCAGCCACTGCAGCAAGTCACAGTCATAGCCTCCGTCAGCAAGGGAGGCTGTCTTTGTACAGAGGGGCAAAGCCAAGTCCCCACTTGCCAGTCCACCATGACTTCCAAACCCAGGCTTCAATGATGGGTCACATATCTAGACACAAAAGTAGAAAGCACCTCTTCTGAAGAGCACAGTAGTTAATTCTTAATCCTTTGGAGATCCTTCTGGAAAATGTATGGCAGCTCTGGATAACCCATGAAAAACCGCATCCATGCAGATTATATGTGATTTCACTGAGGGTTACTGCCCTCTGAGGAGGTCTAAAGGGCAGAAAGGGCTAATCTGCCAGAGGCAGATTTGAGGAAGGGAGTTGTGGGTGGCCCAAGTGAGTATTCAATAACAGTTTCTTAACCAAAAAGATGGCTCTTCCTTAGTTACAGCAAATTTCAGCCTTCCTTCGCTTAACCTTTGAGATATGAACAAGAATTTGGAAGTTGAGAGTGTGTACACACACACACACACACACACACACACACACACACACAAGTACTCATCTTGGCTTCCGATCTTGAAGTCACAAAATGTCCTGTGATTGCTAGTTAACACAGTTCCAAACAGGGCTGAGAAGCAGCAGAGAGAAAAAGTGGGGAAAGGCCCTGGCTGGATAGTTCAGTTGGTTGGAGCATCATCCTGATAAGCCAAGGTTGCAGGTTTGATCTCCGGTCAGGGTACGTACAAGAAACAACCAATGAATGCATAAACAGTGGAATAACAAATCCTTTCTCTCTCTCTTTCTTTCTCTCTCTCTCTCTCCCTCTCTCTCTCTCTCTCTCCCTCCCTCCCTCCTTCCTTCCTTCTCTCTAAAATCAATAAAAAAATTTTGAAAACTAAAAAAAAAAAAGTGGGGGAAAGGTGAGAGTTGGGAGGGAGGGTTGTCTGGACAAAGAGAGGAGGACAACTGAGCTCTCTACGGGCTGGGGAGGTCTTGGCGGGACAGGTCCTGACCCTCACTGCCTGCTCCCCTGGAAATCACAGCAGACCTGCTGACTCCTTTGTAATAAACGAAGAAGTACAGAGAGAAGCAGTCCTTTCCTCCTGGGTCCCTGGAGAGGGGTCGGGGGAGCATCACTCCTTTTTAGGGAGAAGACCCTCGCCCACTGCTTGCCCACAGCCCCCTCGTGGCCCGGGGGTGTCACTGCAGCCTCTCTGCATTGCTGAGCACAAACCTCACCCAAGCAGCTCTAACAGTGGTAGAGCCGAGTATTTAGGTACCAGTGGCAGCTTGGCAACAGTTTCAAGCCATGGTGAGGCTGCATTTGCTTTTGGTTTCTTACTAAGACTAGACTCAAAGCGATCCTTCTAAATTCCTCCCTGGTACAATTCCCACAGGGACCAAGTCCAAGACCTGCTTCATTAAACCAATAACCTTGAAGCTTCTGTAATGTTGCTACCACCTTACTGATCATTTCTTCCTGCACCACATGCAATTGTGTGCAACTGCTCCAAAGCGCAATAGAAAGAGTTAACAAGAATGCACAACATTCTCTGGTTTGTAGATTGCTGGCTACAAAAGACTTGTAGGACACCAAATACCCCCCAAATCCTGGGTTTCCAGGTAGCAGATCCTACAGGGGTTTGGGGGAACTCAGGACTTAAGGATATCCAGTCAGTGAGAAAGAACATGGCCCTTGACCCCATGCAAGCAGACCTGGTGTCCATTTAAGAACTTTACTAGAGACTGCACGAATTTATTACCAGCAACTACACAAAAGGAAGGAGTGGAACCCACCCACCTGGGTTGGGGACTGGACTGGAAAGACCAGAGTCGGGGTGGAGGAAAGTTGGTCTAGTGGTTCAGCTACCATCTGTTGGGGGTGGGGGGGATCGTTAACTGAACCCAGTGGTGGCAAAGTGAGCAAGGTTGGAATAAAGACGGGAAGTTTGGGAGGAGAAAAGAGCGTGCAGAATGTACCTGGAGGGCCTAGAGTAGACCAGGGATCAGAGTGACTGGGGCCAGGGAAAGTGGATGGAAATACAACAGGCTCTTTTCCTTGGGGGGTGTGGGGGGAGTTCTTACCTCCTTGACTTTCTCCCGCTGGGTTCGAACTAGGCTCTGGGGCTCCTCACTCTCATCGATTCTAGTCCCGAGGACCGGGTGGCGGAGGCGGCTCCTGAACGCATTAAAGTCAAAGCTAAATGGGATGCTCCCCTCTTGGGATCTGGGGGCCTCGATGAGGCCGCTGCTCCTGGGCTCCGTGGCCTCCTGCCGTGGCCCGGTGGGGTAGGTACGCCGCAGCGACCCTTTCCTGCGGCGGGTCCTGGCTTGGCTGCTGGGGTCGTCCTTGCCCGGGGCTGGCACAGCGGGGGCTGGGTTAGGGGGCAACTCCTGCACTCGGGCCGAGGGTTGCCCGGGGACTTCGGCAACTACCTCCAGGCCGGGCTGCTGCGTCCGGGGGGCCAGGAAGAGGCGCTTGAGGCGAGAGGAGTTGGGCAGTAGGAAGAGGGCCCCGAAGCACAGGGTGACGAGGCCTGAGAGGAAGAGAAGGAAAAGGAACTTCTGCGGCAACCGCAGCCCCCATGGGGAGGCCGGGACGAAGCCGGGCACTTTCCTCATGAGCATCGTGGCTTGGCACAGGACTGGGGACAGTCAGCTGCAACTGGGCCCCTGAGGCTCTCAGAGTCCAGGCACTTCTCAGCAGGGGTCTCAGCTAGGGGAGATCGACGAGGGGCGCCACCCGGGGTGGGGGTGGTCCCTGAGAGTTTTGGCCGGTCGGGTACGGCCTCTGAAGGCTGAACTTCCTTCAGAGTTTGGAGGGTGTCTTCCCGCGCCGAGGCGGGGGACGCAGGGGCCTTGGCCGGGCCCGGGCGAGCTGGGCAGCACGGCTCAGGGCCCGGGCCCGCAAGGGCCGGCCGCGCAGTTCCTCCTTGCAGCGGCCAGAGCCCACGGGGCCCGCGCCTTCCCGCGCTGCGGCCGTTGCTGGGGCCGTCACATGCCGTCCGCCGTACCGGGGCTATCGACGCAGAGGGACGCCCGCAGGCCTCGTCCCTGAGCCGAGCCGCCCTCAGCCCCTTGGCCCAAAGTTTCAGCCTCAGAAGCGGTTCCCAGAGGGAGCAGACTCGGGGGGGAGGCAAGGCGGTGGCGGGGCCGGCGAGTCAGTGGCGCTCCGAGAGCGCGCTGACCCAGCCAGGTCGCGACAGCGCCCGGACTCAGCTATCCGAACACGTCCACAACTTTGCCCCTCCGCGGGGCGAGCGCCGGGCAGCGGGAGCTGGCACTTCTGAGCCTGCCGGGGCAGAGGGCTTCCTGGGCCCCCGTGAGCGGAGGGATGCCCGAGCCCGGGTCCAAAGCCGGGGGCTGTCCACGACCAGAACGGCGGGGTGGCTGCAGCTGCGCCCGGGAGTGCGGGCTCTCGCCCCGCCAACTCGGGAGGGCTCCGGGTTCCCGCTGGGATCACCTGTTCCCGGCGCCCGCCGGCTCCGTGGAGCGCGCAGCCCCGGCTGCGGCTCCTCCGCTGCAGCTGGCGTCCTCGCAGCAGCCGCTCCAGACGGGCCACTGCCGCCGCAGGATGAGCCGCCGCCACCACCACCGCCGCCGCTGAGCCTGCGTCCCACACGAGCGCACAACCACCCCGCCGCCTCCGCCGCCTCCGCCGCGCCGCCGCAACCCCAGCTTTCACTGAGACAGCGCCCGTGGCTCCGCCTCCCACAGGGCCACGCCCTCAGGCCACGCCCACTGCGCGCCCACGGTCCACCTCGGCAGCGGCGCCGCAGCCGGGCCAATGGCCTCACGTCCGTGGGTAGGGAGCGTGGGGCCTCTGCTAGGGTGAGGAGAGGGAACTGGACTCCAAGCCACGCCCCCTCCCTCAAATAGCCAGAACAGTGCACACTCCCCCCCATCCCACCAGCACCAATGGTCCAGCTGCGCGGGGTTGGCGAGGGCGGGGTGGGGAGCGGAGCGAGGTCATTGGCTGCCTCGGAGGGATCCCTGTTGGGCCGCAGTAGCCCATTGGTTAGTATCCAGCGTTCGCTGGACTGGGAGTGACTGAGAGCGACCGAGATGCCCCCTCCGCCCCCTCCCCCTTCCCCCCTCCCCCCCTCCCCCTTCTCCCCTACTCCACCCGCTCCGCACCACTCCAGTTGTTCATCCCTCTGTTGTTGGTCCCTCGGAGGGCAGCAGACCTGGCTAGACTGGAGGGCTCTGGTCTTCGTTAAGTAACCTCTCTCACCCCTCAGTGTCAGTTCAGGGTTGTCAGGGTGCTGGGGGCCTGCCCAGGGGTCTCCAGATCTGCTGGAGTTACGGTGGTGCTGTTGTGGCAGGCTGTGAGGAAGGGGTGGCTGGAACCAAGCCAGGGAGCTGTGGCTGCGGTTGGGTCCGACTAAGGCAGTGTGTCCACTGGACCTGCGCAGATCACTGCTCTGCCTTCCTTTTCCCTCAGCCCAAAACCAGGCCAGGACCCTCGGTGGCGCAGGAAGAGATGCAAACTGCAAAGGTAGGAGGGCAAGAGAGGAGAGGACCCTGGTCGTGTGCACACAAGATCACACACATGTGGCATAGGTACCTGGGTGCCTGCATGTGTTTATGTGCACTTGTGTGTTCCTCTGAATAGATGTATATGCACTCACAGATTGTGTGTGGGTGTGTACTTGGCACACAAGCATACACTTAATTTAGGTGTGGACACTACAGGATTACATCAAAGCATATATAGGCATTTACACATTAGTAAAAATATTGACATTTGCACTCACATACCCACAGATGCACAACAGACAGGTCCAAGAACATGCGCATGTACACACTGCCTAGACTTGTGTGTCTTGACCTCAAGGCCCTCACACTTTCCTCCTTGGGCTTAAGTCCCTCTGTGTCTTTCTTTCCTGTTAAACCTAACCCAGGGCAAAGCAACATTGTGCTGTGTGGGTCTTTCATGCAAAACACTTTATAGAGACAAATAACAGCAGAGGGAGAGACAAATTAAGAGGTGTAATAGGCAAGAGGGAAAATATCTGCTTTCAGCTGCAATTTAAAATGAAATGCAGCATTGACGAGACAGAAAATACTGCAGGGAGGACTTTCCTGACAGAAGAATCGGCCCAGGCAGCTCTCGCCTCGTAAATCTTGCTTCTTCCCTGAGGCCTGCTAGGGATGGGCTTTGGGGACTCAGATATCTTTATATATCTGGCCAGGGCACTGACAGCAAACCCTTCCCTGATATTTAAATACCCTTGGCATATAAATTTCTGCCAATTGAAAATCAAAAGCTAATCTGGGTAACAGGTGCAAATCATTTCATCAATAGGTTGAATAATCCCTCCCAACCCCAGAAGTTCTACTTCAGGTATTTCAGTCTTTGATGAGTTTGATTGGCAGGAGTCAGTGTCCTGGAACCATCAGAGACAAGGATGTGATCCACTTGGATACAGGAGCCCAGAAGCCTGGCATGGCCTCTCCTGATCCCCAGCACCTACGTACCTTCTCACTGGGTCCGACCTCTGGGAGTGGCAGGCCTGTCTCTGGAGAACCAGGCAGGAACCCAGCATTCTTTGGAGGCACGCTGCATTGTTCCAAATGGAAAGAGTAGGGGAGCCCTGGTCAGTCCCCTGAGAAGGTAGGACCCAAGAGAAAGTGGGGAAGGCGAGGCTGAGCCTCAGAAGGACATGTCTGTTTGAACTGGACACTCACTGTGATGGTGACACCTGGACCAGCCTGTGCTATGCTGGTGACCAGGGTAAAAGTGGGGCTGCAGCAGGACTAACATGCCTTCCACAGACTCAGGCTACAAAACCCAGAGTCCAGAGGAGACAAGTCTCTTTCCAACCAATACCATTTGGTGATTACACTGAGTTGGTAATGTCAACACCTTTACAGTCTCCCCAGCAAGCTCACTGAAACTCTGGAGGTTTCCATCCCACCCCTGCTCCCCTAGGCTGCGTAGACCTTACACATACCATGGCTCTTTTCTCTCTGGATTTTTACAATCGATGTGCTGCCCCACAGCAGACACTGAGTTCTTCATGGCAGGGACCATGGCTCAGTCAGCTCTCTAGCTACCCTAGGTCTTAACTACAGTGCCTTGCATATGAGCACAATTTTTGTTGAGTAATGAACGAATGAGTGATCGCCCATTTCACAGGTGAGGAAACTGAGGCTCAGGAAGGAGAATAATAGTGAACTAACATTTCCTATGGATCAATTACATATTGCTTCATTTATTTCTCAGGACAATCTTACAAGGTAGTTATTATTATTAGTCTCATTTTACAGATAAGAATACTAAGGCTGAGAAAGATTAAGAGTCAGTTAACAAATACCTTTCTCAGTTTAATTCAGAAACTCAAGAGGGATTGGGCACAGAAATGAAAGCTAATTTAAAAATTTATTCTGTCAACAAACACTTGACATTAGATGCTAGGTATCACACTAGTCTCGGGAGGACACAATGATGGCAAGGCATGGTCCCTATCACTGTGGATTCATCCGTTCATTTAGTGAAGAATTCTTTATTGAACACCTATTACGTGCTCCTTACAGAGGGGCTGGCATAATAGCCCTAAATAAGGCAGATGTGAAGCCTATCTTCAGGGAATCCTTTGTCTAAAAGGCAACAGGGACCAATTCAGCCCATCAGGAAGCAAATCCCAGGCACTGGGCACTGTGCTAAGTCCTTCACTCTCATCCTGTCTGAGCCTCACAACGGTCGTCTCTGAAGCAGGCCTTGAGAGCCCAATTTAACAGATGGGGAAACTGAGGTCCATGGGTATGACATGACATGTTGAAAGTCACACAGAGAATAACTTGTAGATATGAGAGAAAACCAGATTCATCTAACCTCAGAATCTATACTTTTTCTGTTAATAATATTAATGATAACTAAGGTTAATGGGGCACTTGCTATGTGTCATGCCCTTATAAAAGCATGGTATAGAATCTTATTTGATCCTGACAACAATCCCATGAGACAGGTACTATATTACTGACATTTTACAGAAGAGGAAACTAAAACACAAAGATGCCAAGGAACTTGCCTAATGTCACACAGAGGAGAAGTGGCAGAGAGGGGATTAGGAACCCAGCTGGTCAGGCTCCATAGCCCCTTCTGTCTTTCAGAGTCTATTGCTCTCCATCTTTTAATGCCAAGAGAGCAGGTGCTCAGAGAGCAAGAGAACAAGAGAGTAGGTCAGAGCAGGGAAAGAGCACCAGCCTCAGGTGAAGTCACCACAGTCTTTTTGGATTATATGAGCTCATTTAGTCATTCAACAAGTATGTATAAAGCACCTGCTATGTTTCAAGCACTACACTAGGCTTTAAGGATATAATGGTGAGCAAAAACTTTGTTTCCACTGCAGAACTTAAAGTTTCATGGGGAAGAGGAGTTAAAACAAATAAGCCACCCCAAATAAGTATGCAAGCTGAGATAAGAGAAAGAAATGCTGCTATTAAAACAAGTAACAGTGGATCTGGACCCAGATTCGAGTTGGGTGAGAAGTGGCCAGGGAGGACTCCCCTAGGGATGAGTGGAGTTACCTAAGCAAAGACATAGAGAACACCCAGGTGGAGGGGAGAGTAAATGCAAAGGCCTTAGGGTGGGGGGTGAGGGAGGAACATGGTGCTTTTGAGAACAGACAAGCCAGAACGTCTGCAACAGAAAGAATGACAGGGGGAAAGGGGAAATGTCACTGAATGGCTTAAGGCAGGAGTAGGAATGTGTGTGTAAGGGGTCAGTGGGTAGGTGGACTCATATTCACATTTTTAAAAGGCTACTCTAGCTACAGTGTGAAACAGAATAGAAGGCAGGAGTGAATGAAGTGCCTCACAGAGGATATGGCAAGTCTGTGGCATCTTGGACTGGAGAAGCAAAGATGGACAGGATCGCAGAATCCAAATCATATTTAGAATCCAAAGCTAATAGGATTTGGTGATGGCTCGAAACTGGATGTTGTTAGAGGGAGATATCTGCAAGGGTCCTCAGGTCTCTAACTTGCCTGGGGGTAGTGGCATTTGTTGGGAATGGAGCGGTCTGCCCAGGGAGGTGCTAGCCAGTTGTTGTGGAATCTGAAATCTTACATTGTCATTAGTCCTGTTTAGAATAGAAGACTAGAAATGAAGCCAAGTGAGCCAAGGGAGAATCATTAGGTAGCTTCCTTAATGGCCTCCAGACAAATTCAAACCCCACCCTCCTCACCCCCACCACAGGAGCAAGGCTGTGAACGGGGCCTGCCAGGTGAGAGCAAGCCAGGTCAGTCCCCAGATAAAAGCCCTGCAGCTGCCCTAGGCTCATTCCAGAAGGCTGCAGTCAATGCCTCACTACAGTGAGACCCATTTCAGGATTACAGAGCCCAGAGCCCCTGCCCTCAGACTCTTAAAAGGTCATGAAAGTTTCCTCTCAATTCTTCTTGCCTGAGTCCCCAGCCTTGCATCAGAGGTGGCCCAGTCAGCCAGGAACAAGAATTCTCAACCAGCAGCATTTTTGCCCCCAGAGAGCATTTGGCAATGTCTGGAGATAATTTTGCCTGTCACAGTTGGGGAGGAGTGCTACTGCCATCTAGTAGATAGCAGTCAAAATGCCATTAAACATCTTACA